TACCCAGAAATAACAGATTTTATCACATTTTGTACATATTTTAAGCTAACACAAGACCACAGTGTGTTTGTACATATAATCAAAATGATTTTTATTCTTACTTAATATACCTAAACACTCTTCACATGTCAGCACACATATGTATCTATGCCACCTGCCATGGTCACATATTATTCCATCTATGGACACAATCGAATTGATTTATAAAATTCATCATATGCATTCCTCTTAATACCTTATTATTTTAAGTGCTGAGAAAAGAAAATTATATGATCTCTATTTCTTGAGGATATTTTGGTATAATGGAACTGATGGGCAAAGGGCATACACAATTTTGAAATGTGTAGTCACAGTTGCCTCCTTAGTGCAGTGCGTCAGTCTCATTTGTGTGTACTTACCACCAAGTTGTCTATTTCAAAAGAAATCAGCAACATAAACTGTAAGCACCAGTATAAGTATTTTCAGTGTTTAATATTAGTATTTAATATCTTCATTCTTACAAACTCTGTGGATAGATTAACAGTATCTCATTCTTCTTTTAACTTAAAATCTTTCTCTTAGCAGGGGCACTTAATATTTTTTGCTATGTGTGTAGGTCACTTGTAGATCGGCAAGAAAAGTACTTTGCCCAATTTTAAATTAGAGGTCAGTTTTTTTCTTGTTTGATTTGTCACCATCATCAAGTTCTAAATTCTTTCATATATTTCGGTGTTTCTAGATTTTTCTAGTCTGTTCCATTCATTTATCTGTCTCTTCAACTATTAATAAATGATTAATTTGAAGAAATTAATAGCACATTTCGATATCTAGAAGAGCAAGTCTTATTCACTCCATTACAAAATTTTTCTTCATGTCATCACAATAGTAAAAGAGAGACACCATGTGTAACTCAAAAATTTGGAACCCTTATTACTTTTATTTCGCACATGTAAAATTGATAAGTATAGAAAGAGCTCACATTTTCAGAAAAACGAGTCTCCCTATTGAAGACTATGGTAGCATCTACCCACTTCGAAGTTTCCTTCTAAGTTCCCTGAACTTATCCCTGAATAAAGGACACATTTACACAGGTGTACATTGACATAAAATGGATATTGAACTTCTTGCTAAGATGTTTTAGCACAGAATTTGATAGAGTATGTGAATTATTCCTCGTATTATGTACCTTTCTATAAGGTATATAACATAGTGATTTAAAATGTGTACATTAAAAATAAAACACCGTATATACTTGTGTCAGTGAAATAGCTAAAATTGGCAAGAAAGCGTCCTAGAAGGGGAGTCGTGAGTGGACGGGGAACCAGCTGAAGTTTTTTTTGTGTGTTGCTGCCCATACAGATGGCCTTGGCGCTGGACCCCTCCACGGTTTCCACGTCCCAGGTGCTGCGGAGCCTGCAGGGAGGACAGCCGGGCGCCCTCGCTGACCGGAGTGCGGGCTCCCGCCAGTCTGGGAAGGGCGCTTCCCCAACACCCGCCGGCACCCAGGCCCGCGATGGCCGTTCCCATTACCTCTTCTTTCTGTCTCTGCCATCCAAGACCTTTCTCTTCAGCGACAGGATCTGCTCTACTTTCGCCACGTCACCAGCGCAGGCAGCTTGGTGAATTTTGTCCAGATCTCTTTTCCGGCTGTGGTACCATGGCTGTAGGAAGGCGCTGTCACCAGCCTCTCCTTCCGGGCCCACCCCGGTCTTGCCATGGCTGCCGCAGGGGCCGGAGGGCGGCCGGCCCTTGTCTCCCCCGAAACAGAAGATGTTCTTCATGGTGGCGGCTGCCGGCTTCGGAGGAACCTCAGCTCACCCCCACCTCCCACCCCACCCCAACCGCTTGTTTATTCCCCGCCTCGGGAGCCCAGTGCAACGAAGACAACCCGATCTGACCACGACCTCCAACAAGGGAAATTCCGGTTTCCAATTTCTGACAGGAGTAAATCGCCAGGCAGCGCCAAGCACAGCCAAGCAAGACCAGAACTGCCAGAGCCGTTAAAGCAAGTGCGCGTGCGCGCATCAGAACGACGTCATGGCGCATGCACACAAATGTCAGCAGAGAAACCGTCCCCTGAGTGACACACTCCAGAGCACGCAGGCTCGGGGCTGCTCTGTCCCCGCTGCCCGCGTGTCGTGCACGTGTGGTTGCAACTCGGGCCCCTACGTAGGATGGCAGAGCTCACCCCAGGGCTGCCTCAGGGTTGCCGAGAGTGGCACCCCCTGGGCCTATGGGTTACCAGCTGACTGAGCTCACAGTCCGCACCTGCTCCTCCTCACTCCGGGTCGCTAGCCCGGTGGGCACCAGCGCTGGGAACTCAGCTGCCATCAGGTTGAGCAGCCAGTCCCCACCTGTGTGCCACCCCGGCTGCCTAACTGTCCAGCAGGCTTGGCCCCTGCTGTAGCATGAGGTCCCCAATGTCTCTGCTGCTAGAGTGGCCAAATGGGAGGCTGCTGAGCCGCTGCTGTGCCCAGGCCACAGACAGACCTTCCTCTGTGTCCAGCATGTTGGCTGGAGCCAGGAGGGGGCATGGCTGCTTGGACTCCCCACAAGCCACGTGGGGGCCTTGGAGACTCAGCTGTGCGGTGTGATGGAAGATGGGGCATGGATGTGCTATGGCTGCACCTATGTTCTCAGGGCCCCCACCCCAAGCACTTCTCACCCCTCAAGCCAGGTGCCCCGACTGAAGTTTCTGCGGGAAGCAAGGGCCCGCAGCTGAGTGAGAAAACTGAGGCACAAACTCTGAGAGGAGCACACATTGATTTTGCCAACCCATGTCAGTTTATTTTCCCTCACCCCAGAGAGTTAAAGGCCGAATTTAGCACAAGCTGAGGTCCGGGCTCTGAAAGAAATCCAGGTGTTTCCCCGTAGGAGCATGTCATAAAACCAGCACACACTCCGGGCCCCCGATGCCCACTCCTTCCTACCAGGGGAACCCGTTCATGTTCCTGGTGAGAAGGCACCTCCTGGAGGTGGCCTCCATGCAGCATCTGATGTGACTCAGTGCCCCTTAGGCCGCTGTGTTGGCTGGGCCAGCTCCCTCCTATGCTCGAACTGCTGTTGGCCACCTGAAGGAGCAGGGACAGCTCCCACTCCACGTCTTCAATCCTCTGAGCCAGGTGGACTCTCCTCACTTGAAGCTCCAGGGCCTGGTGGCTCTTCAGGGCCCAGGTTCCCAGCTTATCTCCATCTGGGTCATTTGTCTCCAGTGTGTGAAGTCTGTCTTCCTGCCACTCACAAGGGGAGATTCTGCAAGCCACCTGGGAATGACAGACGTATAACACAGACAGGTGACCCCCGAACACTTTCAATTCACTCTACCCTGAGCCCTCTCTGTGGTCTTGGCCATGACTTTTGTCATTTAGACACTCTCTAGGCACCAACATCCACCCCAAACTTGGGAAGATGCCAATGACTCCCTCCAGGGACTGACCTCATGATTAACTAATGAAGACACAGTGTTCACCAAGTTTATTTCACCACAGTAATGCACACCAGTGGCAACTATATCATTATGCAATTGTCATGTTTAATAGTTTGGAACAATTATTCAATGATTAAATCTCAGCATATTTTATAATCCCTCACCTAATCCTAATTTTCTCTTCCTTAAAATCAGAGATATTTGTATAGAATGTATTTTTAAGAATGATCACCTGTTACTTTATCCTCACTGAGTCATGATCTTCTGACCCCTCAGAGCAGCTGAGGACAGATTCCTGCACCTAGCCCCTCTGCTGTAGAGCTAACTTCGCAGCTGCCTGTCTGAGGTGAAGGGAGGGCGGGTTCACAGAGGAACAGACCCCTCAGCTCAGCACAAACACTTTAGAGGAAGTCCAGATAAAGCTCAGGGCAAGAATGATTGGCGTGTTGAGATGACAGGAAGCCAGCATCTGCATTTGGGTTTCACGAGGGGACCCACCTCTGGGGCTCAGGGATCCTGGAAGGCCATGAGAGACACAGTTCCCGCAGCCTCACTGGGAAGGGCATCTGCGCATTTCATGGCCGGTCCTTGGGCCCCATCCTGCCTTGTTTGCTCACAAGAAAAACGTTCCCTCAGTTGTTTGTGAACATAGGTGCCCTTTCTTATCATTTTGTACTAAGAGAGAGATCAGTTTGACCAAGAAGTTGATATTCCAGATCTTCAGACATCAAAACGCAGACACCCATGATGTTCTCCTGAAACTCTCCACATTGAAGGAGCATCCTGACTTTCCCTGCTGTGTGTAAGAATGAAGAAAACCTGCCCCCAGGCCCCTCCTTGGCCCTGACTCCTGGGGTCACTGTGGCAGAGGGTGTTCCCTGGCTGGGGAAGGGGGATTCTGGGGTGTTTCAAGGTATCCTGGCCCAGATGCACACACTGGGAAAGCAGATGTGAGAAGGTGCCTACCCATACCCCTCCACCACCCAAGGTGCTTCGCTAATTTTAGCAACTCAGGGACGAGGCTGGGACAAGTGAGGCACTGGGCTTGGGTGCAAAAGCCCAGGGGTCCAGGGTCTAGAAGAGAGGATTAAACATGACCCAATAGCAAAGTTGGGACAAGACACACAGTAGAGACAAAATGACATAAAAGGTGCCAGAAACTTCAAGTCAGGATGAATAGTATGTTACGCAGTATTAAAACAATCAAACTGGGGAACTAACACCCAGAGACTGGCTGCCAGCTTTACCAAATAAAGTGACTTTTTTGGTTTATTTTTTCTATATTTTTAAGCAAAGAAAGTTATATTGAGCTCAGTGCAGACAAAAATGCATGATAACTTTTATCTTTCATCTTCCTTTCCTCTCCATTCTCCCCTGTGTCTGCACCTCCAGAGACTGCAGCTAGGACACGGAACAGCCTGGATGGAAGATGCATCTTGCAGAAAGCTCCTGGTCCCAGAGATGTGTACTGTTAGTTAGGCTACATCTACAACAGCCATTGTTATTGCTCCTTTTCCATGCCCTTCCTCAATATTTCAGGCTGTGAATTAATTTAGAGAGTTTCAACCTAACCTGATGATGTGGCCTTCCCTGTCTCCAGCCCCAGCTCTAAGGCTTGATGGCTTAGCCTTCCATTCTTGAAAACAAACACACAGAACCTGATTTTGGCTGGTGGACATTCTGATCAGATCTGGCTATTGTAGTCCCAATACCTCTCTGTGGAAGGGGCCATGACTCCATGGGTTCCGTCCCCATGCACACCTTAGGAGCTGAGATGCTAGTCTGTGGACTTACTACAAATGTGCTGCCTTCACCTGGGGGCAGTGGGTCTAGCTCATCCTCCTCTTTCTGGTACTTCAGGACTTGAGAAGAGAGCTGGAAGAACTTCTCATTCAGCTCATCCAAAGTGTCTTCTACCTGCAATATCTTTCTCTAGAAACAAGGAACATGTGGTCTTTGTTACTTTTATTTGTGTTCTGATTTCATTGAAACTGTCTTGTGCTCCTACTCCATGATTTACAGCGGGGTAGTGCAGGGCATACAGACTCAAAGTCAAGTGCTGATCTCAGACAGCTGAAAGTCTGAAGGCAAGGGGAGCCAGACCTACAGCCCAGCACAGCAAAGTAGCAAAATGTATTGTGGAGAGATGCACGAGGCACTGCAGGAACAAAAAGCAAGACACGTAGCCCAGGTAGGATGGTCAGGGAGAGCTTTCTGGAAGAGAGACTGTCTCAGCTGAATCTTAAAAGGTGGACAGGAGTTAGCTGGGTGGAGAGTGGGAGAAGAGCATTTTAGACAAAGGGAGCAGCATGTGGGAAAACACAGATATGAGAGAGTATAGGAAACATTCATCTATTTGTCCATCTATCCATTTGTCCACCCATTCCTTCATCCATCCATTTATCTATCCATATATCCTTCCATCCATCCATCCATCCATCTTTCCATCGATCCATTCATCTAACCTTCCATAAATGAATTGAACCATCCATCTACCCATATATCCATCTACCCATCCACCCATTATGCTATTTGTCCATCCACATATCCATCCATCTATCCACCCACCCACCCACCCATTCTCTGCCCATCTATCTACCCATCCTTCTATCCATAAGTAAAGACTTATTATGAACCCAATGTGTATCAAGACAATGGTCAGTTATGGGACACTATTAGGAAACTTCCACGGAGTTTATAACCTATGAAGAAAAGCAGACATGAGGCAAGAAATTATGTGTGAGGAGGGTTATGAGTGGATGTTTGGGTTGCAGTGGGGATTAATCAAAATTCATTTGGCAGTAGCATAGAATTTGTCAGGAAAAGTGTCAAGAGATGATGCTAGAGAAATGAGGGCAGCATGCTTTTCTTACATTGTGGGGTCATCTAAAGGCAAATTTGGTAGAACCATTCTCATGAATAGAACCTTCATTTTCTTGGGAGTGTCCGTGTGCCCAGCTGAAAAATGACTTATCTCAGACTCTCCATGAGACAGAGATAATCATGTGGCTAGTTTTGGCCAAGAAGATGCAAAAGAAAGTTGTAGAGGAGGTAGATTCTGGAAAATCTCTTTAAAAAGGAAAGCTGGTTAAGTTCCCCTTCTTACCTTTGTACCTTTTGAGCAGGTGTCCTGTAACCATGAGTGACCATGAAGATAAAAGTCATGTGCTCAGGATCATGAAGCAGAAAGTTAGAGGGATCCTGGAATTCATAGGACACTGTGGATGCTGATGGGTTTACTTTTGAACATACCAAACTTAAGCTATCTGTGGGGCATCCTATGAGCTAATACAACCCCAATTGCATGGTGAGTTCAGCTGTCACTGAAAGCCCATCTTTTGCTCCAAACATGAA